ACAGACGAATCAGCCTCATCAGTTCCACCTCCAGGGTGCCGAGGACCGGAAAATCCGACAGGGCACGTATGCCGAAGATGTCCGCGATCGACACCACACACGCCGTATGTGTTGACCAGAAGGCTCAGGCCAGTTGGGCTTGTCAAAGGGCGGAACGGCCCTTCCGGTGTCTGTTCCACACAAGCCGCCACAGTTGCACGAGCATCAACATCAAGTCTTAATCTATCCTCTATCGAAGATAATATGGTGAATACATTAGTGCTTCTGATCCTTCCAATGAGTAGCCAGCTATTGTTTGTGTTCTTCTCCATATGTTCCATTATTTCTAAAGCTCTTCGCTGACTCCTATAGTAGGCTCGAGCTAATACCAAAACCGGAAAATAACGTCTCTCTGTCATAGTAGCCCCTGTCAGCATGGCCCCCCTGCTAGCAAGGGCCCTAGTAGCGAATGATGACCGACGCTGAGCTCGACACGGTGTAACCTAGTCACCTGGAGACCAGGAAAATGTGATCGGCCGTACAACCCTTCTAGCGGTCATTGGTGAAGAAGCAGCTTCCGTGCTGCGTCGAACATTCCACACGTCAGCCTACGCTTTACGTTGGATACTACTTTGGGAGAGGTACATCTTCATGCAGGCTTTTAGTTCGCAACCTACTGCAACCTAGTCTGTACTATTGTTACAGGTAACAGAGCCACGAGGCCTGTTACTTTGCGCCATGACAGGGGTGCCATGCGCTCTGGAAAGGGTGATATCCACATGGTCTGATCTCACTCCTGCCACATCCGGCTTACTGCGAGTCGCTACAGTATCCTGAAGTGTCAATGGGTTTGCGAGCCGATAGTTGCTAGACTAGCATTTCCTCGAGCAGTTGGAAATGGCCCTTGCGTGTCAGCATGAGCCGGTCTGTCCAGGGTCCAGATATGCCTGTTCTCCCTCCGAACTATCAAGGACCTTTTTGACAACCAGCTTGTGAAGAATCACCTTACCAGACCAAGCTAGCAGTGTCGTCCCTCCCACGCAGCTCTGTGCCGCTCACTTTCCATTACGGGCTTAACCACGAAGGAACGAATACCCTGCTAGCGAGGGAACACTAGTCCAAATGATCTAAGAAATCATTCAGACAATGGCTTTACCCGACGACTAATGATGTGCGCAGAACAAATTAACTGCGCCCGGATTAATATGCCGGGCACCCCGACCCGGACCCAGTCTTCTGCATGGCAGTCAGGAGTGTTTCATCCATCTACACGTGTGCTGGCTGCGGAGCCACCCCCTGGTGAGCACGACGGCGATCATGCAGTACTTCGATACGACAGGGATCGCAAGACAGCGGGGTCACTTGCCACGAGGCATCTTTGCCCCTAGAAGATTCCAGATAATCTTTTCACGCGAGAAGAAGAGCGCTGTTCGAACTAGTATGGTGATTCCGCCTTGTGTATCATAGCCGTCATTCGACAGATACATGCCAGTATGGTTCCTTCCCCATTCACTTCTGCTGAGACATCGCTACTCCTCCACATGGACTATCGGTATTCCTCCACTGTGTAACCAACTTTCATGCGGGCAATGTAGCAGGAACAGCCACCAACAGGCACCAACCAGAACCAACATGTTGGGTTGCTGTTCACCGCTGACTCGTTCACAGATCCTGCAATCGCAATTTAAGCATGACACTATCAACAGGGCAAAGATGTCAGCTGTGCAGACTAGGATGCACTAGGCAAGGGCTTTTGTCACAATTGTCTCGGTGCCTCTAAACCCTACCATCTGCTTACCAAAACAATGGCAGAATTGTGTGCATACCTTGTATGAGACGAGTCAGCATACTGCAATCCTGTTACATCGAGCTGCAGGTCATGGATGAGCGGATCACAACACAGATCTTGCCCCTGACGAGCCTAATCCTGGAATTCCTTCCACTTGACCATCCTATCTCTCAAATCGACTTCCTTTCCGTCAATCACGAACCGGCCATCTCCGCGATGGTGAGCCATCTTCATTTCCCTCTTCCTTCGTTTGCCACCACCAACACGATCGTCGTCATCTGCTGGGTCTCTGCTTCCCTGGCCATACTCTAGATCCATGTCTCTATTGATCCATGCTCCAGTCACCTTCAGCACCCACAGATTGTACCTTGCCACCAACGCTCGGTCCTCAACCATACACTGAATGTTGGCTATAACATCCTTCCCTCCAACCAAAGGCGCCCGTGCTCTCCCTTCCTCACCCCCTTTTCTATCCCACAACCCATCTGCAGATGCAGGATCAGAAGCTGGGACCGGGGTTATTCCAAAATTCACCCACTTGTTGACATCTTCCCCACTGCAGTTGCCGATATCAACGGCCTTCTCCAACATCTCCACTGCAGGAATGGCGAGCACGCATTCGCCCGTCTTCTTCAAGTTATCATAGCTCTTGTCCCACGGCCCAATGCAGGCACCGACAAGTGTTGGTCCTTCGTGCTGGATCATCATGTGGAAACCCATTGTCATTATGTTGTGCGTCTTGTTGGCTATGGAGCCGGTCGCCACAAGCAAAATGGGTCCAGGCTCCAAGAGCCGATTGACCTTGTGGATAGGATAGGCCACGAACTGGTCCAGACCATTGCGCTTATCATCGCCATCGTTGGAGCTGAATTCTAGTCTCGATTTTTTCGGTGCCCGGTCCGGCTCCGACTCCGACTCGTTCAGGGGCTGCTGCAGACTGACATTGACATCCCTTTTCGTATTCATGTTGTTCCTGCGAGACATAACTGCCGTAGGCCTTTCGTCTCCTTCCTATACAGGTATGTGCGGGTAGGAATATATATGAAAAATGTACATACACCACTTGCGGTGTATCTCGTCAAGAAGACATGCAGAGGACCTCAAGGTGAAGTGCAGTGAAGAAGTTGCTAAGTCGGAGAATATCCAGACAAAGAAGTGCATCAAACTTGCTTGCGGAACAGACTGCCTCCCCGCATTCCTAAGACCTCGGGGCCGCGCCATCCTGTTGGTCGGCTCTTTGTTCCCCTTTAGTAAGTGACGTACACAACCATTGTCCTCTCATGTTCCGAATGCATACTTCATCGACAATATCACAAGCAGTGTTTACATCCATCAAAGCAATCACACTGCATCAAGAAGACACTCTCTCCTACCGTATAGACAAAATACAGAAAGCTACTTAGCCAGAAACACATCATCATATTCTGATATCATTCTTGCTCCTAATATCTTGTGACGTAGATAGACTTCACAAACCACGTAATACTACTCATCCGAACTATCATATATCATGCTCCAATCCAAACCAGATCCTACCTATTAACCTCGACGACTAATCCACGTAGTACTCAGAAAGAACACCCATAATGGTCCTCTCCTATACTCTGTATATGAATCGTGTAATAACATACCCATACATGATCATTATAAGCGAAGTACACCCGCTCCAAGAAAAAAAGCGACTGGATACACCAAACCAACGTAGTACCTGATCTTCTTGACTAATAATCATACTAACGCCTGATGACTATAAATCCCTCGTTGATATAGTATATGACTACTAGCGCTGGAGGTAGCACGTAGATAGTGGTATGCGTATATATATATATAGTACTATGGAATCATCACCTTCCCCCCCCCAAAGTCAACTAATAAACTCTCATGAAGGGAGCAATTTAGTTAGTAGTTACTTACTTTATGATTACTTAGAGGGACAATGAACTCACATACTAACACAAGAGAACAAAGATCAGCAACTGAACACCAATCCCTCCCTCATGAACCCAAATCTGGGAAGTATTATTGTCGATGACTAACTACTAGCAGGTCATAGTTAGTTGTATCCCTGAAACTATTTGACTCCAAGCAGGGATTAATAGTAATACTGAACATCGTGTCTTCGTGGTCACACATAGACATATGGTAGATGATGTTACCCGTTGACGTAGGTAGTGAAGGTGCAGATGAATATATATTTGTGGTACTAAGTAGTGTCCGGATAATCACTACTAAAGTTACTACTAAGTAACAAGTTCAACCATATCAATTCGGTTGGATAAAACTCCAATTATATGATCGGCGATAACAATATATAGTATCGGACGAGATCATATGGCTGCCTACTTGTGGAAAGAAATATCGTTATTCATCGTCATCACGCTACCAAACCCCGAAGTCTATGTGGTCATTGCCTAAGGATAAAAAAACATCATTACAGCTACAAGATGATTGACTGATAATCAATGCATCAAGCACATGGTACACATTCATCCTCACATTAACTACAGGGCTGTCCGTCACATTACTTACAATCTTCCAGTCAAGGCTACTGTACGTAGTACCCATGACAAGCACGCGCGGCCCACCGCCATAGAAACAAGCATCGCAGAAATACAACAATTGGGGGGTTCTCGGCTCAATAACAAAAAAATTTGGGAAAATAAATGCTGTCCACGAGGGTAATCGACTAGAATACAGCCCACTTCAAATAACGCCTTATCAAAAATGAGATCCTGAACTGATATACCTCAGCCCGACTCGTCGAGTCTTGACCTTGAGAAGCCCTTTGATGAGATAGAGAACGCCAAGTCGAAAATATAACCATCATCAATGGCTAGTGACTTGGTTGTTTCTGAAGAGCCGCAAGCCCTCACCAAAGTAAAAGTCACGGTCGGCTTCCTCAACAACGCTCCTGGAGGGTTGCTATCCGCCACGGGCGGCACATACCACACGTATGGAGCGAATGTGCTTTTCATAGCCAGTGGCTGAAGGGGTCATCATATCCTATCTGCAAACATGCACTGGTATTGCAAGGTCGCTGTATAGTCCAGCAGGAATAAGAAAAGGAGGGAAAGGATAGCTGTCGTGAAGGGTGAATTTATGGTGACAAGCGAAGGTTGTGTAAGGTAGGAGAATTTCTGGCAGGGCATGGCTCTATCGTTGAAGACATGCACAGATAGGATGTTGGTCCACAAATGGCGCTGTCTATGGGAAGCTGGCGAACGCATCCCTTCTAGCGTCGATCGGGGTTAGTCACCTAGTACCTGTTAGCCGGAACTCTTCATATCTGATCATCGTTCAGTGAAGCCCACCTGCAGGATGCGACGAGAGAAGTCTTGGTCATCATCGATGCTGCCATTGCTCTGACGGCGCTGCGCCATGAAATCACCATCGAAACGGGAATCCGACATGGAGTGTTGGGACATCGGGTTGCCATAGTTGTCCACACCAACACTACGACGGTATTGCGACTTGCGGTTTTTGAAGCGCCACAGGAAGAAGCCAGCGCCAGCAAGAGCACAAGCTCCTACGACACCCACGACAACGCCTGCTGCAATGGCAGCAGTGTTGGCACTTGAGCTCTTCTTCTTTGAAGCTTCAGTGGCACCCTCGGCAGTTGCAGATGCGCTCGCATCGGTCCCGGACGTTGCATACACGGTTTGTGTGGTGCCAGAGCTAGTGACGACATGGGCTTCTTGGGTCGATGATGTAGACGTTTCGCTGTCGCTGCTGGAGGTACTTGTGCTCGAGGCGGAATAATGGTCGACGTCATTCTCAATGCCAGTAAGGTAGACGGAATAAGTATTGCTGCCACCGCCTATATTGTCACCGTTAGCAGATGTGCCATCTGAGGCCCGAAACCGGAAAACATACAGTCCACAGAAGGCCAGCCGGCACATGCGGTATTACACTTGCTGTCATCAACCTTTGCTGACGAGGCAGGTAGCAGGTTACCGCAGAGACAGTCCTGTCCGTTATGCAGGGCAAAGACCGAGTAGTTGTCCTTCAAACACAGCTTCTGACAGTATCCATCACTCTGATATGTATAGGTTCCCTGATCTTTCAGTGGCGTCGAGTCGGAGTAACAGCCATTGTATTCCTCGGTATAGGCATATGTTGCAGGCAGACTGATGGATAGGAGAAGGGCTGAGGCTGCAAGAGCCGACCGCATCGTGAATGATTTCGTGGTGTGGTACATGGTCGACGTAAGAAAGGATCCCAAGGGGTAAGGGTTGGTTGTGAGTTTGGCGAGAAGTGACCTCAAAGATACAGCGAGGGAGGTTGATCGAAGAATAAGGGACGACCTGCGTAACCCTTTGAACCTCTCAGAGCCACTTTCAAAGTTGATAGTCCTGGTGGTCTTTTCTCACTCCTATGTCCTCGAGCTGGACGTGTCGCGACGGTCCTCCGGGGTAGTGGAAGAGTACGGATAGTTTGCTTGCAAGGGCCGACGTTGAGGACGAGTGACGTAGATGGGACCAGGCCTTGACGTGGAGAACTGGTCGGGGTATAGACCGACAGTAGAGGGTCAGAGGATGGTAGTAGGTGAGGATTAGAGTAAAGATAGCGATGAAAGAGTGTGGTGTCTGTCCTGGGGGTAAGCGGTCCCTGGCGGGGAAGGGCCCTTTGGACCGGTCGTTTCAAGCACCCCTTTCTGTCGGGAAGAGTTTAATGAGCGTGCCTGAACGGGCGGTTCAGGAAGGGAAATCGGCCAAGGGTAAATTCGCACCCACAGCAACAGGGAGATTCTATTATGGCCCTTCGCGATAGATTCGAGTTATCCAGATAATAGAAGCTCGACCTAGGGGCCACAACAGTTCTGAAGAAGCGAGAGTAGTAGTATGAAGAGTTGGAAAAATGAAAATCCAATGAAAATAGGAATAAAAAATTGCACAAAAACAATAATGTCCTAATAGAAGGCCAAAAAGAGCGACTGGGTTGAAAGCAGGAAAGAGAAAAGAGGGTCAGGGAAGGGGAAGGCGACAGAAACGATTGACAGACTCCTTCCTGGGACACAACAGGGTGACTACTGCAGAGGCGGAGGATTGGACTGGGAAGGCATTAAGCGACGCACTGACGGGTGAACTAGTACTAGTAAGTAAGTAAGTAAGTAGTATTACTGTGTACCTCCGTCAGAGACAAGAGGAGAAGGGGAGAGAGGGGGGCCTGTGTGTGCCTGCCTGTCTGCAGCACCAGGTAGTTAGTTAGTTAGTTAGTGACTGCTGAGTTCGCCCGCGTACTAAAGTTTCCCCTACTGAGACGGTCGAAAAAAAATAAAAAAAGGGACAAACAAAGCGTGAGGGAGGAGCATCATTCCCATCCATTCCCTGCCTTCTCCCCCAATGGCAGGGCGTGAATCCAGACGCGGTTCTCTTGTTGGTGGTTCCCCGACGGGACCTGACCCTGGATGTGCAGGGCGGTAATTTACCATGTCCCGCGTACCTGTCCCTTCTATCCAATCATATATCTTGAATCATATTACATCAGCAGACCCGTCCAGGGGCAGGGCTCATCCCTTTCCATTCTGGGCCACACGGGCGGCACAATTACAATTGGAGCTGCTGCTGGCATGCACTAACTAATTCATCCCCCCCTCCCCAATCCACCCGGTCATGGGGTGGGCGGGCATGATGACTGGTGGCGGCGCTGTATATTTACCCATACAAAGAGGGGGGATGGGAAGAAAATAGGCACATGCTCAGGCGTTTTTTGGGGGATTTTTTACCCTTCGTCTCAACTCCTCCATAACATACTTTCCTTCCTTCCGTCTGATGCCGCGGTCGGAACTCGAAAGGCATGAAATGTGCGACTCGACTCATACATACTAGGCACATACCAGCATCTTGTGATTTAGTTGGCGAGAATATTTTCCTTTCCCTTTACCTTCATGTAATCTCCATATGGCTACTTCGACATTCCATGCATCTTCCCTACTGAACATCTGTCTGTCCCTTACGATCATTATCATTCAGCACCTCCGGCAAGACAAATACACGTACCCAACTGGGAAAAAAAAAACATAAAGAAATGGAAAACGACCAAAATTGGAAGAAGCAACTCGAATTTTGCCCGGAAAGAGGTTTATAAATAGTAAAGATCCTCGGTACGACCTCGGGCACTGATACCCTCTGTTACGAGGACACAAGCCTCGCGCAAACTCACCCGTTCAAACTCAGCAAGTAGTAACAACGCTGCTGCTGCTGCTGCTCGGGTGCTGGCACCAGCCATTGAATATCGATAGAAACGCCTGCTCCACGATGGACTTTTTCCAAATCCGACTGACTAATGATGAGTTGTACGAGGTTTCATTTGTACCGATCCTTGCATGACTGCATGACGGGCAGCGCGAAGTTTTCCCCTGCCCACTTACTTGTAAGGAGATGTCCGGCCAAACCACTAGGTAATGGAATTGATTCTGGCGTCAATAATGTGTTCGGACTCTGAATCGTTGCGTCATCCATCTCGAGACACAAGAACGTAAACCAACTACGCATCTACTAGTAGCATCAGATACAACCGTCAGTAGTGAGGAGTGTGTGCCTTCTGCCCCAAATTTTGGAGCCGACACACCTCGAGGACGAACGGCGGAGGATGTCACTGGTCAGGGGAGTCGATTAACCGCCCAAACTCCGGGGCCCATCATCGCATCGCAATTCCAACAGTCGCTGAGAGCATCCAAGCTAATCCTTTTTGATCCTTGATCCGCATATCTACCCAATGGGATATCGCTGCTTGGGGGACGCTATGCACGCCGTCACGGACTCGAGTGCTTCCAGTTTGTTGGTTAATAGTAATCTAGTTAGCGACCGGCGGGCCCTTCTCCTCTTTCGAGTCAGAAAAAAAGAGTTCGAGTTACCTCGTGCTTGGCTTTACCGTTGAAGCAGTCAATACTCAATAGTGGGTAGCGATTTACAACGCGACACAACGCACTTATGCTCTACGTATCAGAGCTTCATTTGCCACATCACTGTTTCGGTTGAGGGAGATCCTCTTGCATCATTACCAACCTGCGACTGGAATGGTTCCGATGGTTCAAGACGGTCGGGTCGTTTCCGGGGTGCGGTGGGCGCGCGGTAGATAGTGGGACCTTTGGAACCCCTGCAGAAGTGCAGCCTGCGCCCCGTAAAAAAAATGAAAAAGAATAAGTAGTTAGTAAGTGTTGTATACTAAGTATGTAAACACCGCTTGAGTAGTAGTATGTATCTACGCAAGGGTTCTCCGCTCCCACCCCCCTTGACGCGTATATCTGCAAGACTCTATGCAGGCAATTGGAATCACGGCGCTTTCTCGACGACCAGGAAAATTCAGTTGCTGATAAATTGTAATGGGCTGATCCAGTTGCAGGAGGTTGATTGATTGATTGATTGATGGGCAATGGGAAAGTGCAACTGATGACGACTCCTTCGGTCGGAGACTACTTACTATGTTCAATAGGAAACAACCGGCGACTTCTTGCCGCCCATTCTACAGGAAAGTAGACACATGTCCCGTTACATCGTGCATCTTGCTTTTACTTTTTACTACTATTACTCCTTTAGAGCGCGTGTGGAAGGAAGATGCTTGATCTTTCGCCACCAATTACATACCCACAAGTTTTATTTTGAAGATGGGAACGAACATGCACGATCAACTGTTCCGTTTCCCGCGGGCCCATGGGAGGAATTCTAGAAGTATGGAGCAGCAGCAGCAGCAGCAATCCTTCTTCACATGCCGAATAAGCTTATCGTCCGTTCTTTTTCCATCATTCCAGGCCTAATAGGAACGGGCATCTGAAATTTAGCATTCTCCGAGGTGCCTGTCGTGGTTTTGTCTATGTATGCTGCGATGGCTGTAGATTTTCCACTTCACTGGCTTGCACTGGCAAGGCTCGACTACTTACTCGAACACCATCCACCTATTGTCAGCACTCCCAAAATAGTACGGATACACCGGGAAAGGATTAAGGTAAGAGCAAGAAAAAAAAGAGGGAAAAAAAAGCAAGCAAAACAAAGACCAATTCCCACCTACTAGTAGTAAATGACGAGGAATAATATTGTAGGAATAGAAACTATAAACACCACAACCCCATCTATCCATCCATCCGCAGGGCAAAGGAAAGAAGATCACCGGCACTGCCGACAATTCACCACTTAACGCCTTTTCTCGGCCTCACCGGATACCACCCACCTCCGACTACCAAGAGGTCCTACCATTTAGCCAGAGACGGTGAGCGAGCGAGCGAGCGAGCAAGCAAAATGAGTGAGTCAAAGCGACCCAGTAGAAAAAAGGCCCAACTCAAAGTGAAATCCTGACCGAGGGGTCTAGAACGTGTCACCAGGATCCACGATGTCTCTCCCGGGGTTTCCATTTTTAAAAGTTCCGTCAATGATAGACCCAATCGTGAACGCGCAAGAGACAATAGCGCAGGATTTTCTATTGCTTTGCCAAGAAAAAGGGAAATCTCGGCTCTAGATACACAATAATAATTAACTGGGTTGGCTGAGGGAACACGCGGATGAATCATTGGGGAACTTGACCTGGTAACGATAGCCTCAAGGGTCTCACTTGGTTTTTGAGTGTGTGTGTGTGACCATGACTGACTCGGGGGGTGAGGTAGGGTTGGTCTTGGTGACTGACTGACTTCCATTTCTTTTGCTTCTTCACTTTGCTGCTTGGCGGGATGGTAAGGAAATGTTTATGATGATCATTGTATCTTGCTGATCATTGAGAGCGTAGGGGAGTTCTAAGACATCTTGTTCTATAATATTAGTAGGTCGAAGTTGGCAGGCTAGAACCTCCACAGAGGGCTTGAGTGGCCATCGGCTCCATCGTCTAACTTCCTGATCTGCTTATCAACACGAGAGGGACGGTTCCCCCATGATTTCGGACTCGGCGTGCGTTGGTCTTCCCTCCATATCTGGTAGGTCATGTGGTATCTTTAATTCGATTATATGACACATCGATTATATGAATATCGGATGTGGATGGATGATCAGTTCGTTGGGCTTCGGATTCCTACTTTGGAGCTTATTGCAAGCTGCACCGTTATATCCTCTACGAATATGTATTTAGGTGATGTTTCCTGCATGAATCTGAGCATGTACTTGGTCATGAAGTAAACATCCAATGCTACAACCATTCGCACACTTGATAGTTTTCTCCAAAACAATCTATAACAGTATCAAAGTTGTG